CGGGACGGTCCAAGCACGTCGCGACGGCCCGCCGGCGCTCGGCGCCGCCATCCTCGCTGACCTCAAGGAGCTCGCCGCGACCACGGACGAGACGTGTGGGGTGCTGCTCATCGTGCTCGCGTACGTGACGCGCTACGGCCAAGACCTCGCAGAAAGCACGCCGGCCCAGCTCGTCGCCTTGGCCGCTGACGTGCAGCAGTTTGCCGACAAAGACAGTACGCCGGCCACCCGCGATGCGGCGCTCGACGTGCTCACGGCGATCGTCTCGCGGACGAGATGCTTTGACCCCGCGCTCTTGGCGACGATCGCGACCGACCGCGCCGCCTCGGACGCCGAGCGCCGCTTTGTTGCGGTGTGCGTGCTTGTCGCGCCGACGATCCAGACTGTCGATGAGGCGCAACGTGTGCTTGCGTCTGCGCTCTCGAGTGGTTTGGATGCGGCGCCCACGTCTTTGATTCTTCTGGCGCTTACATTGGCCGACTTGGCGCCGTACAGCGGGCCCAACCTTCAACATGTGGCCACTGCCGCGCTGGGCCACGTCCTTACTTGCGATCTGCAGCTCGCGTTGGGTCTCTGCATGGTCGTGCTCGGCGGCGCAGGCGGCCCATTCCAGGTCTGGCAATTGGTGGCTTCGCGCCACGAGCGCCACTTCCACGCCGACGCTCTCGACGTCGGAGCGCGCAGCTCTCTGTCGCAATCATGGGCAGCGATTACCGACGCAGTGCCTATGGCCTCTAGTCCGACCATCGAGGCGCTCGTCGGAGGCATCCCAGACGCCGCCGCGCCAACGACGCCCAGCGTGTGGTTCACGCCTGCACTCCAAGGTTTCGTCGATGTCGCAGCCGTGCGTGCGATCAGTGACACGATGGCGATCTATGTCTCGGTCCACCAGTTGCTCGAGCAAGGCATGCGCGTACGTCCACAGTCTTGTATTTGCGTCTTGTACCAGCGATGATTAGATGTGCGAGATCGCTGCAATGTGCAGTGCCTCCGTGCCCGCGCTCCGCAAGCGCATGGTGGACGGCTTCTTGACGCCTCTCGTGCAACGCATGTCCGTAAGCGTGCCGGTCAATGTCGTCCAGGATTTGTACGACGTGCTGCACATGCTGCGCCCATGGGACGCCGCGACCTGCGCTTATACGAGCATCGACGACGTCGACCTCTTTGGGTACGAAACGACGATTTCATGGTCGTCATCTCGACCTCGTAGACCACTCCAGACCGAATTGCGTCGCATGATGGGCGAAACGCGCGCCAACGCCGACGTGTGCTTCTGGGCGTGCAAGGCCTATTTGCTTGTCGCTGCCGACGACGCGCGCTCGTTGGCCCCTGTCGTGGACGCTCTTCCAAGCACCACGGCGCTCGAGTTTGTGCCACTTTTGTGCAGCTCCGCGCGCGCCAGCACGGCGCTGACCATTGTCGAGCAGGCATGGAGCAGCGCGTTACACCATCGGTGGTCGCTCGACCCGTCCGCCCGTGCGCTCGCTATGCTCGGCCGCGCGTGCGGTACCGAAAAGCAGCATCGTAGCCGCGTCGGCAAGCTGCTTGATACGAGTATGGAGAACGCATCGGCGTCGATCGAGATTTTGTACGCCGTCGCCGCTTGGTTTCCCGTCTGCGACTTCACACAGTCGACGCTCGAAGCCGCCTACCGAAATGTTTACATGCCGGTGGCTCACAAAGCCACGTTTGTACTGGCGCTCTCGACGGCGGTCGAGATCAGCGGTGGCCTTTGCTGGCTGGATACGCTGACGACACACGTCGTCATGTCGGAGGTGTGCAAGCTTGCGTGCGTCCTCGCCGCGTCGCGCCGGCCGTGGCTGCCTGTCGTCGTTGCCTTTTTTGCGCGACACAGCGAGGACGAGGTCGTGGCCACCAACGTCCGTGCACACATGGCAGCGCTCGCCAAGGTGGACGACTTCAAGTCGGCCACGGCCATGGCCCTCCACTTGCTCTGGCCGATTTTGTGGCGGTACGCGGAGCTCACGGAGGAGCTCCCGTACGACGCAACCCTCTGTCGTCGTCTCGCCGCGTTCCCTGCGCAGATTTTGGGCTTCTCGTCCACGGACGACCCGGCCTTTGCCGCAATCTTCCGTCCATTTGTGGCGTTCTTGGCCCACGCCGACGTCCTTGACCCAAACGACGTCAAGGTCCTCCACGAGCTACAGTGCGACGACAACGAGACAGGGCAGATCCTCGCGGCGCTCGTGCGCCAGAGCAAGGTACCCACGGACGCGTCGATGGCGGCTACTTGTGTGGCTCTTGAAGGCGGCTTTGGCCTTCTCCGGGTGCTCCCTTATCTCGGGCCGTCGCTCAGTTACCTTGTCCAGCCGCAGCAGAGCGCCACGTTCTGCGCCGCCACCGCCATGACGGTGAGCAACATCCTATTGGCCGCGCGCGACCCCGCAACGATCACGGCTGCAGTCAATTTGCTGCGTTTTATCTTTTTTCGCGGCTGGCGCGTCGCCGCGGATGACAGCGGCGCGCAGTGGGTGTTGCTGCGGTGCTGCCTGCGCCACATTGTCGCGCACCCGGATCTCGCGGCGAACTTGTCGACGATGGTGGAGGCGTTTTCGACCACTGCGGGTTTCGTCCATTACAAGCAGCGACTCGGCGACAGCATCATGGCACTGATGGCCGATGCCACCCTCCGCGGGCGACTAGATTGGCCGTTGACGGTGCTGCGCCACCACCCGGGCCCCGTGCAGTGGCTCTCGGCGCTTGAAGCTCTTGCGACCGACGACCACGGCGCCGCGCGGCAACCCGTCACGAGCGTCCACTTGGCCTGCACGGCACCCACGGCGCTCTACACGCGCATGCTTTGCGCCGATGACGCAACGGTCGCTCTGCACGCGTTGCTCGCGCTCAAAGTGCGCGACGCGTCGCCGGCTGCCATGCTGCACATGGCAACGTGCATCGGGCGCGGCCGAGTACCGATGGCGCTCGATACCCAGCAGTGGCGTGCCATTCACGACCGTCGCCGCTCGGTGGCCCTGCCTCCTCTCGGCGGAAACGACCGCGAGGTCCTCGCTGCCTCGGTCCAGCAGCTTGCCTTGGACGCCGACATGACCGTGGCGATCGCTGCCATGCGTGTGTGCAGCGCGTACCGGCAAGACCCAGAACGGCTGCACGTGGAAGCCGAGTCCGCGCCCGGGACCCTCCCGGTGACGTGGGCGAGCATCTCTGACAAGCACGTCGACGACTGGGTCAAGGACACGGCACAGAACGTCGTTGCATGCTCCAACGACACGTTGCTTGCGGCGTGCACCGACTTGGTGGCCTGCGACGTCGGTATCGCGCGACAGTGTCTCGCCATCGGCCTTGAAAAGGTCTTTGGCGCGAATGCCCACGACGCCATGTTTGCCGCCACGATCGCCAACGTCGTCGTCGACGCGCCCGTGCTTCACGGTCAAGTGCTCCTCGAGGCGCTCCTTCGCGTGGCGGCGCCCAACCTGCCGTGGCTCCTTCTGGCTCGGCACGCGCTTCGGTGCAGCATGCCGTTCTCGGCGCTCCACTGCATCGAACGTGCGGCCACAGACGACGTGAAGGCGCTCCTTCTGGACGCGTACACTGCGATTGGCGACGCCGCCAGCAACGCCAACGCGTACTGGGCGTCGACGCCGCCATCCAAGCGCCTGCGTGACTACGACGGGGTGGTGACCGCCATCATTGAGCGCTCGAGCTTGGATCTGGACGCACCGAGCACGAGCACGAGACTCGTCCACAACTGCTTTGCCGCTTTCGAGGCCGGTCAGCACACGCGTCTGGCGTCACTGGTGGCAACAGCCAAGCAGCGCATCCTTGAAGGCGTCTCGCTCATCAGCTTCGAGCCCACGATCGCGACCGCCAAGGCCGTGCTGCACCTCCAAGTTCTGGCCAGGATTGAAGACGCCAGCGCTCATCGTCAGGTACCGGCATCAACGGTACATCATGACTCACGCATGTGTGTAGATCCATGGCGACGGGTTGGCGCTCATCACGCGTTGGGAGGAGAACCACGTGCACGCCGAGCCGAGCGCGCTCTCGCACCTACGCAGCGTCGAGACGCGGCTCCTTTCCGTTCTTGGCAGCTCCGACCTGCGAGACGCGACTCTTTTGGACGAGCCCACGACGCGGCTTCCTAGTCAGAAACATGAGTCGTCGGTCGTGACGACGCTCCGCGCGCTTGCCGGGAGCCTCCGGTAACGTGTCCGCCTTTTTGTGCAGGGTACAACCTGGCCGTGTGTAGATGCCCCAGTCGGACGCGCGATACCTCCGCGCTTGGCTTTTTCATGCACTGGCTCGAGCACCGAGATGCGACCGGCGTCGACGACTGCGTCGTACGTGAGCTCTTGATCGCGGACGAAAGCGCGGTTGTGCCGACCGTCGTGCTGGTGCCGCACGCGCACTCTGTCGTTGCGCAATTTTTGGTCGCTTTCGAGGGCGCCGAAGAGGCCTACGAGTCCGCCACAGCAGCCTTGATTTCGATGCGCTGCAGCAGCGACATTCTGCGCGATCGTGCGATCGTCAAGACATTCAAGGGGGCCGAGAAGGCGTTCAAGGAGCAAGACGCTCTCCGCATCGTGCTCGCCGATTTGCTTGTCCGAATGACTCGGGAGCATCCGTTTCATATGCCCCAGATCATCGTCCAACGGCTGTACGAGCGGCCGCTAACGGTATCGCCGCGGACGACGGCATCGCCGCCAGAGCTCTTCCGAGACGCCGCGCTCTCGTTCGTGCTCCGGCGCATGATCCAATCGAAGGAATTCCCTAAGCACACGTGTGACCTGGTCTACGCCGCGTACCGTCTGGCCGTCATGTACGAGCGCATCGCCGTCATCAGCGAAAGGGTCGACAAGTTTTCAGACCTCCACGAGTTCGAGAACGCTCGCCCCGACGCGAGCGAAACGTTGCTCAAGGACGCGAGTGAGACGTGGCTCAAGCAGGATTGCGTCGTCGCGAGCGAAGAGCTGATTGACAAGGCTCGGGTCATCACGATCGAGGCATTGCGCAAGAAGGGTCGACTCGAAATGATGATGGCGCTGTTCAAGGATCACGTCGTCACGAGCAAGACGAAGCTCAAGAAGGATGGCCTCGACGCGAGAGAGATAAAGCCCACGAACGTTCGGCCCGTCGTCTGGACGGCCACGATCCCTCTGCGAGAAGACTGCCAGTATGACGCGAACCAAATTCCGTTTGTCGATCACTTTGGCGCGACGTTTACAACCAACGTTGACGGTGCGTATTCGCCGTTTTCCAATCGTGACGTGGTGCATAGGCATCTCGTCGCCCAAGATCGTCACGTGCAACAGCACGGACGGCAAGGCGTACAAGCAAGTGGTCAAGCCCGGCAACGTGCTCCCCGTACGCCCGCAACGACATGGATCGTGCTCAATGTCAATGGCGCTAGGACGTTGCTGTCATGCGGCTCATGCAGTTCTTCAACACGTCGCCGCTACGGGCCAACCCGTTTGCGGGGCTGTTTCGCACCTACATCGTACGCAGCGACATGGGCTCTTGGTACTACACGATGGATGACTATTGGGTGTAGGTGCACGCGATTGCACATATCGTCGGTGTTCTCGAGTTTGTCGGCGGCGCCGAAGCGATCAAGGAACGCGCCCTGGAGAACGACGCGACGTACGCGACGATGGCTCAGTGGAACCACACCCGCGACGTCGCCGACACCGCAACGCGCCTCCAGATCATAGCCCAGGCCCCCGTCACGCTCCCGCAGTGGTTTCTCCGCACGTTCCCAGACCCGTACGCGTGGTACGACCGACAACTCTTGCGACGGCATCGCACGTCGGTCGTGGTAGGTACCAAAGCCGACTCGTCTTCACGCGCACGCTCGCGGCGTCGTCCATGCTGTGCCTTCTGATTGGTCTGGGCGACCGGCATTGCGCGAACGTCATGCTCGACACGACGAGCGGCGCCGTCGTCAACATTGATTTTGGCATCGTTTTTGATTGCAACTGTGCGTACCAGTCCCGCGACGTGACATCAATACTTTTGGTCATACTAGTCGACGGCGACAAGGTCCATGAGGCGGTCCAGGAGGCGGTGCCCTTTCGATTGACGCGCAACCTGGTCGCGGCCCTCGGACCGAGCGGCACGGGTGGCTTGTTTGCCGTCGCGTGCGCCGAGACGCTCGAGGTACGACATCCTACTACATCACGGCAACACAAAATGCATCGTGTTTGGGTAGTTTGCGCGCCAGCACCAATGCGAGATCCTGCAACTCCTCCAGGTGCGCCACCACTGTAGCCAGATGCCGCACGGGAGTGTACTACGTAGAGCGACCCGACCGTTGCGGAAGAAGGTGTGCGCTGTGTGAAAGAGCGCTTCCAGAAGTACGTGCCGCCCCAAGTACCAATCACCATGGACAAAGTCGCGGAGCTCGTGGCAGTGGCAACGGATCCCAACAAGCTCGCGGCCATGCCCACGCCATGGGCGCCGTGGTTTTAGGAATATTTATAATATTTATATACGTTGGTGTTTTCTTCTACTCCGATTTGCACAACTGATGTGTTTCTGGAACGACGACTTCCTATCCAAACACAATCGCCAGGTTGCTCGTCACATTTCTGTGATTTATTACGAATTTACAACGTGCATAGTTTACATACCCGCACATGCAGAAAACCGAGCCGGAGACGCCATTCGCGATGCGAGACGCATTGATCAGCCGTGCTGGGCATCTCTACGCCGAAACTGCTGTGTTTCGGGGACGTCTTATCCACACACAATCGCCAAGTTGCTCGTATTTGTGTGAACTGACCATATTTAAATCAAGTATATTTTGTCCTCACTCGTGAGAAGTGAGGACAAAATATAGACTTGGTTTAAATATGGTCATCCAAATGTCGAGATATGCTTGACTTGTGTTCCAATCGACAGGTCTTCAGGGGTTCTACAAGATAAAAAGGGATGTATGTGTCGGGGGCTAGGAGGTCTTGAGGTCTCGGGCAAATGTCGGTTTGTGCTGAAGGCCGAGTGGGTTCTTGGCAAGGAAATATCTATTCCCTTGACGCAGGCTCACCAAAGCGGAGCTCGACGGCGCGTGCCAGGACCCGCGCTTTGAGAAAGTTTCTTCGGGCTCCTGCAACACTGTTCGGCGCTTTTGAATAAAAATATCTTGAAATTTGTACTAGCGTGAAGAACCCCCGTTTTAGGTATAGTACCCCTGGCCCTACTGTCGCTTCTCCGCTTCTCGACGGGAAAGACTTTTCTTTTTTATTTCGTGCGACACGTTTTAAAACCAATGCACAATGATCCATACAGATACCTAAATATTTGCTCCCTTTTGCATTCAAGTATCAGTATCAGGGGTTCTGCGTTTACCTCGCACGCACAATGGGTTTCCGGATGTTTGAGGACAAAAACCAAGGTTAAACAGCATTGGAGATGGTGATTGGCTGGAATACCTTCTTTCCGGATACGCTAGCGCCACTGTGTCATCTTCAACTCCGACTTTCAATGCCGGTCTTGTCGCCCAGACAACGAACGACGAAAATGCTGCCGAGGGGACGAAGGGAGGCCGCTACTTGTACGCGCAGATCTTCAAGGGCGACAAGCTCGACTTTACCACCGCGTGGCGCGATGCGCCGGAAGGCGTCGGCTGCACGTCGGACGGCTCGGTCTCGTGCAACGTCGACTGCACGCTGCAAGGCGACGTCCTCGTGCGCTACCTCTCCGACGCCGACCAGCGCGTCCCGGTGTTTCGCGCTGCGTTTCACACGGGCTACCATCCCATGGACTTTTTTCGGTAGGTTTTTTTCAGTTGGTCCGAGGTGTAACCATGCTTGTAGGCTCGCCACGCATCGATTGCAGATGCGGGTCAAGCTGCTCGACAGCGCGTGCCAGGACCCGCGCTTTTGCCCACATTTCTTCGTCGACCACATCTTTGCGTGTGAGACTCGACGACGACCGTGGCATGGTGGTGTGCCAGATCCTCATCGAGCAAGATGGTCATCCACGCGCGCATCAAGGGACGGCGCTCGATGGACAAGGTGCAGCAAGCCTCGAGCATGTCGCGCTCGTGGTGAAGACCACCTACGTCATCATCGACAAGGTGCACGCCGTGTCGCCGGACGAG